CTGCTAAAAAAGGTTGGCCCCCATTGGCTTAAATCAACTGGTAATATAATATGACTTGATTTGTAAGAGCCTTAGAGCCCATGACAAGTTAACCACAGTGCACTGCATGCTAGCTTAATGTGTCTTTTTGAAAGGAATACTGTGCCATCTATCAAGAATTTTGAAGTCAGTAACTGCTACAAATACAGCTAACTTCTCTGCTTGTGATGACTTAATAGTTCTCCATTCAAAGTCCCTAATTGACTTGTTCAACCCCCTTTGAGAAGATACACTTTTCTCATTAGAATTCATTAACATTCTTTTTTTACTTTAAAACTGATTGCATATTTAGCTCTCCCAGTGCATTTTTTTGTTTGGATTTTTGACAGAATTATCAAAACCTCTGCCCACTGTCTTGTAAAATGCTAAGCATATTGCTGGCACACCAACTGCATTTATCCACTGCAACTCAGTTTATTTATTTTTTAGAAGTAGCTCTGATTCCAGCTGAAGACTCTGATCAAGGTTTACTGTTTAAACAGATGTAGCTTACAGCAATTCCTGCAAATAAAAAATGCTGTTCTAACCTGCTCTTACAGAAGACTCCAAACACAAAACTGAGTAATGCAACATCCAATGTCTTCCACCTCCTAAGGTTACTCTATGTTAGTTTCTATACTCATATCTGTACTTATAATAATCTGCAACAGCTACTAGTCTGTGAACTTACTCTCTTAAGTAAACTGGCCCAAAAAGGACCACGGAACAACTGTCAGGGAGTTTCACTCTCCAACTCTCATGCAAACTTTTTCCTGAAATGTAAGATAAATTTAAATATATAAAGCCTACAAAACCTGGAGAATAGAACAAAAAATACAGACAAGTTTTCCAAACCATTAAAAAAAAATCACTACATACACAACTTTGATAATATCAACAGATACTTACCTTGTTTAAGTGTAACATTTCCACACTTAGTAACTGCAATCTTGGTGTTATCAACAGGACCTGGAGGATCTGGTACAATAAAAAGAATTATTAGAAATTGAGATTGAAGAAAATATCAAAGCTAATTTTTAAACATGTTTTCTCTTGATATTGCTACTCAAGAGTTTTGCAGGTCCCAAGAATTACTTACCACTATCTTTGCCCTTCACAAATCCTTCCCACTCTCTGAACCACTGCATACTGATGCAGTAAAAAGTAGATGGAGATTCTTCTTCTTGGAATGCTCTATAGAGCTGAAAAAACACAGATAGGCCCACTTGTTTTACTTGTTATCAAAATGAAAAAGATTGTTCTACAGCTATCTAACAACTGATAAGTGGCAATATGAGAGCAAAACACACTGTTAATGTTCTCTAGGTATCAAAGCTTAAACACCTTGTGAATACAGATTCTGGAAGCAGTTACTCTGATCAACTGGTATTCCTGACCAGTATTTAAAGTAAATTATTTCATTTGAGAAATTAGGATTTTCTGTTTTCCTTTAAAAAAATAAAAGCTTGCTTTAGTTTCTAGTCAGGTCACTAAGGCTCCTGCCACATGATGCATATATTACACAATTAACTGGTTAATCACACAATAAATTTAGACTGGCCACGCCGGCAAAGTAATTATCACACCATAAAAATATCCATCTAGTTATAAAAAGAGGCAACCAGCTACAAAGTTAGTACTTGAAAATGTGTAACAACTTTGTAGCTGGTTTCCAGCTTTAATTTAAATATGCTGCAGGGCCATAGCACTGATTTGAAGTACAACTACTGCAGGGGCATGTCAGGAAAAACTGGACCCTGCAAGCAGGTCACTTAGCCTGCTGGCTTTTGGCAGGAGACCTTGCTCCCCGAGGAACCCCTTAGCCAGTTCTCCAAAGCAAAGTTCTTTTAAAAAATAAATAATACAAAATCCCTCGGTCCTTTAACCAGATACCATCTTCTACTCTGGCTGCAGCCTGGCCCTTCCCTGCAGCAAGCTGTTCCCTTCACAGTTTGCTTCCTCCTCTCCTTGCTTACTCTTCTGGAAAAGATATCAGGGACACTCCATTTTTACTCAAGTGCCCTATAGCCGGTCTTTCTTAACAGGGCTGACTGTTCTTCTTTAAAGGGACAGATCACCCTGTTACAAACCCATAAGCAAAAGAACCAAGTTATTTTATTTGACTATGTAAACAGGTTTGTAATTCTTAAACATAGCCTTGTTTTCCTTAATGGCCTAATGAAAACCAGTAAGAAAATTAGCCCAGCAAAAAAGCGACTGATTTTATACCTTATTTTTTCTTACAATTTAAAAAGAATGAAAGAGGGTTTTACGCCTACACATTTTTACATTAAGAAATTAACATCTGCTTGATTTTCCTAGACAACTAGAAATAACTAGAAAGGAAGTAAAGTGGGAATGAGTTAAAGATATTTTAAGACTCTTAAAAATTTCAGGGTTGATTGTTTATATGCAACAGTTGGAAGGAACAGATTATTGGTTAATGAACAGCAAGCCCAAACTTGTAATTAAAGGCTCCTAAATTCCATACACCATTTTTGAGTCTTCCAGATCACAGGAAAAGAAAGTATGAGTAGAATAAAAACAAGAGAAACTTCAGACCTTATTTTATATCATAAAGAAACAACAAAAAGGGACAAAACCCCACTATTCCACATAGCAGATCACTTTTAAATCCTGTTATCCTATCAACTGGAAAGCAAATTCTGCTGCTACTCTTCAATTAAAAAAAATTAGCCAAAGAGGAAACAGCCATATTCTCTTTGATGCCAAGTTTAAATTTCCCAGCTTTTAAGGCATCAATGATAGTGACCTCCTGCAATGTCAGGTAGAGTAACACTCAGCAACAATCATTCTCTGCAGCAATCTCTACATAGGCTAATATAAATATAATCCTTTAATGCTTGGTATCCTATCAGTGTTATGGTTTATTGGCAAATATACACCACCAAAGCAAAAGAGTTATGGTATATTAAACTGATAGTTCAGTGTACCAAGATGACAGTGTTAACATGGACAACAGAACAATCTGCAGAATAATTCTCAATCTCAGTGAACAGCATTCAAGTATAGACTGTAGCCACACTGAAAGACATGCAGGTAGCTGGATATATTGTATGTGTATCATTCTCTGTATTTCACTATTTAGCAATTTGGTGCACTATTTCAACAACCATTACAAGAGATACTAATTCTAGAACAAATGTTAGAAGAAGTTCATTCAAAGGGTTTATTAAAAATAAAAAGACCAAGTTCTGGATTTAAAAAAAAAGGCTAATAGCTTTGGTTATAGTGTCAACCAAATTCAGTAATACAGCATACTGAATAAACATGGAGTTAAAGATTAAACAAAACCCCTAACTCTGAACTTCCTTTTGTTTAACATAATAAAAGTCAATAAAAAGAAAATGAGGCAGGGCTAATCTGAGACAAGTTAGTACTGATTTTTTTTGGGTTCAAAAATGATACATTCACTACATGACTACATGTGTAGTACCTCTACTCAGACTCCCTCAAAGCATTCTTAGCTCCTTTATACCTATAAGTTTCTGTATTTTCCATAAATTTGGTGTGACAACTCCTACGTCTGACATTAAATTTACATTCAATTATATATGTAAAACCATATTTTATATCAAGAACAGCTCTTACAATGGAAGTAAAATAGGTCAGGAACAATCTCTCTCTCTGTACGTACCTACCGCTAGAAGTACTGAATTAACTATTTCCTGGACCAGTAGTGGTGCACCCAGACCTTTCAAACTGTTTTCTGTAGTCTGTTGCTGATGCATAGCCATGAGTGTTCACATGAATCCATGATTCCAGCTAATTAGTCAGCCAAAACCACATTAATTATGCCTCTAAAGTTACAGCTCCCATGCAAGCAACTGGCAGAGTTGTGACAGGAATATTAGTATAAATGGCAGAAAGTCATGGGTTTGTTTCTTTTACATGAACGGACTGTTCTGTCAAAATATCACCCATATTATAAAAAAAAAAATTAAGAATCTGGATCTAAATACTGCTTATGAAGAATGTATGGAATGAAGATAGCGTGCAATGAATCATAATACTGATTACTTTTTTACCCGAACAAACATTTCTAATTCAGTCTTCCGTCTTTTCTCAATTTTCTCAGCCTCTATTTGGCAGGTATGACAAATATACAGATGGTTAACAGCTGGTCCTCCTCCATACCTATAATCATAGTAAAACTTCATTAATTTAATGGAAAATAGTTCATATATTCCCTCTATGTCACTACTAGCCGCCAAGAATGTCAGTATTGCATTTTGGTTTCTTTTAATGACATTCCACATGCATTTAGCAACATAAGCCAAATTCCTTATTTTTGTTATTATCTGGATTATCCCAGGCCTGCACCTGTGAAACTACAGCATGGCACAATTCCAAGCTTTAAGAGGGGTGATGAGTTGGACAAGTCTATGATGTACTCTTGTCTTGTAACTGAGGCACACGTGCCGCTCTCATTTATTTTCAGTAATATTTTGCATTTGATGTCTGAAACATTCTCCTTATTCTGTGCAAACCTAGATTCAGTTTGAATAATTTGTTACTGAGATCTTCTAATACAGACAGTTTGCTACAGGTTTTTTAAGACTGATACCACCAAGTAAAAAAAAAAAAAAGAAACATAGTTAAAGTGCAAAAAACCTCTTAGTTATTGAGATACTACAAACTATATAAAAAAAGCACAAAGTCTAGGCCCCAAAGCTATACTGGAAAAAAGCAGCAGATATGACTTATTACTTCTAATAGCAAATATTTTACATGAGTAAAATAGAATCACCAGAGAAAGCTGTAAAAAAATATAAATCAATCTATTTATGGCATTTCTTCCAGATGAGGATTCAAAGAAAAGTGAAGGATGTTACCAATATTAACCTATATTAACATTTTTAAAGCACAGTTCATTCAGCAGGCAGAGTCACTCTGGTTGCCTTATTATCACTTATTATGCTATTTCACTTTTGTTTCATAGAAGTGAACAAGTACTACATGAATTACCTGTAATGGTGATGGATTCTTAACCCCATAAAATCTTCCCTCCTGATCCAGTAAAAAAATAAATGACCCGAGCTTTTTAAAAAAGAGAAGCAACAGTATCTTTTTAAAAGTCTCTCACTGCATGCCTCAAAGAAGTTATCATTCAGGAAGAATGCCCCCTTGACCAGTTCTGACTTCAAAAAGCTAATATACAGTGGTGTTTATACAATATAAACACCACTTTATACTTTTTATCACAGAAAGGTATTTAAAACATTCTGTCTTAAAAACAGCCTCCTTTCATTTGGTTATACACTTGGCTCCCTACCACTGATTCCAACATATAAACTTGGTCAATGTCCATTGTTTTATTCATGGATAGATCATTTTTCAATTTCCTCCTTTAATTTTCACTCCCTGCCGGCTGCTGACGCACAAGGAGTTATCTTTAAGAGGCACTGTTAACAATCAAATATGAAGCAGCCAGCACCACCATCCAGGGGATGGAGTGCAGAATCATGTGAACTGCAAAGCTAGAAATATAACCGGGCAGACACCGGGCTGCTTCTGCATGCCTCTTAGCCAATATTAATAATATTTATTACTGCAGAAAGGTCAAGATGAAATATAAGTTATGTGCAAAGGCGTTTTCAGTGTGATCCTTTCCAACAGAATTCACTACTTTAAAGGAGGCAGAGCAACACTGACAGTCTGGCTCTAAGCTTAAGATTCATCTCTGGAAATTTTAACATTCTACTCAGCTGGTGTACTCTTTAATTCTACTGGTAGAATATTTACTCTTCAGAGTTTTTTAAACTTAATACAAGTGAGGGTCTTTTGTTTTTCTTTTTAAATCATCCACAAAATACAGTGCTTTGAAATGATGAAAACCATTTTTAAATTTAAGAATGCTCTCTTCACTTAGACAAATAAGCACCAGGCTAAAACCCATTATAAGAAGTCTTGGGCTCAGAAGAGAACTGTATTCAAAACCTCTGAAGCCAGTATGTTTGGTGGTTTAGAACTATTATCATCATGCTACTGAAATTAATTTGAGAGTTTGTTATTCAAGTTACTGAGACACCTTACTGCAGTGAAATAGCCAAATACGTTATTTCACATACACCTCCCTGCTGCTTTTCTATATGCTGTCACTCATCATTACTTCACATAGAGATGCATTTCCTTAGGTGACTGCCTTAGTTGTACCTTAAGAGACTGTATTTTACATTTTCAACTACAATGATCTGTCCACAAATACATCAGACTGAACTAGGTCATATATGCTGCTTGTATGCTTTGCATTTTAAAAATAAAAATGAAATGAAAACATGAACATTCTGCAGAAACTGCAGATGCATTAGGAAAACGGGTTCTCTTTAGCACTTCACCCAAAAGACATCATCCCTTCAATCCAGGGGAGAATGTAAGAAAGCCAGCACATGGATTATCTTTGCCACACTGCTTAATGTGCTACTGGAACATATTTGGATAGTGAGGTGACTACAGCCTAAAAACTAGGGAGGAGTCCATCAAAATGATTTCCTGTCAGAAAAAGCAGAAAGATTTTTATTTTGCCAAAGTATACTGGCTTTTCCCTAAGGAAAAAACCACAATGAAATATTTCAGTTTAGATCAATTGGACAACACTTTTTTTTTTAAACAGACCAAAATATATTTTAATCTCCAATCAGCTAATAAACAATTAAACTACATTTTCTCCTTTGTGGCCCAGTGCGTTACAGAAGTTCAGGCCTCCATTACCAAGAGGCCAGCCTGGGAAGGGATACTGCTTATGCAGCTTAGGTGGAATGAAAGGACAATATAATATAATACCCTACACATCAGGAAGTGGAAGCAGGCTGTAACAAGCCTATTTCCACCCCCTTTACTTATGTTATTATGGCTAGCTGTAAATCTTTGGCCTGAGCTTCCATGCTAAGGTGGAATATCAGAAGTGTAAGAGTCCTCACTGACCACAACAGGGCTCCAATGCAACTTACGTTGCTGCTTTACAAGGTGTTGGGCTTTGTAAGAGTTCCTCTTTCAGGAGGTAATCACACCCAACCTCCAAGAAGAATACACAGTAATTACAGAGAACTCTTAGAAATAACCTTTTTCAAAGCAATTCTGGCAGCTGACAGACTAAGGAGACAATGCCAAAAAAACCCAGAAAAAGCTGGCTTTCTCCAGCCAGCAGAAAAAAGAGAGGCCGATACAGATATGTGTTTGCCAATACAGATGTGTTTGCTGATCTACTTTATGGTGGGTTTTTTGCAGTATGCTGTGTAAATTTAATACCCCAGATATTCCCATCATTTGCTTGGGCTTTTAGTACTACTTTGTTCAACCAAACCTAAATTTAAACTCCCTTCATTCTCGTTTTGCTTATAATTCCCTTTTTACCACTTACCCATGGATCTGTCAGCTTATGAACTAGATAGAAATACAGTCTCTCAAAACAAAACAGGGTGGGATCAGTTATTGTTGGAACCTTACCTGCTGTACAGGTTATCCCATATGTTCTGAGGTAGCATTAGTACCAGGTTCTCTATAAAGGTAGCTTTACGTGGAGGGACACCTATAAAATAAAGAAAAGGTTTTACTGTATTGTTTTTTGGCCATTCCATTGCAAAGTGAGTTAGGGAGAGAGATAATGAGACCTTTAATAATTAGTTATGTCAAGGCTGTCCAACTTATGAGTGGATGAGAGCCGCAGATGCCCAGCAACACACTATGAAGGCTGCATCCCTGCTGGGCCATACGCCAAGTCTCATTTGCTTTAGCTCCTACTCTGAATGCACCAAGTATCATAAGCAGCTATCGGATGTGTCTAGCCTACCCAGCAGCCCCTTTCATTTGACAAGAACTGAAGATTTCAGGATACTATGACACACAAGAAATTTGCAGCAGTCCTGCACAGTATCATGGATATGCCAGGAGCTGTTTCTCCTACAGCAGGGGTGTCAAACTATATGGCCCATGGGCTGGATCTGGTCCATGACCTGGCCATGGGTCACTGGACTGACACCACATGTTGGCCCCAGCCCTGAAAATTGCATGCAATGTGTGGAGTTGACTCTGTCTTGTGCCCTGCATGCAGCACAGGGGGTCAAGTCCAAGACATGCACTTCATGAAGCACCCTGCCAGGCCAGACCTGTGCACTGACTCCAGGGCCAATCCAGATTGGGCTATGCCAGAACCAGTGTGAAGGGATGGTCCAGCAGGGTGCTGCATGCAGCATGCACCCTACATTGGCCCCGTGTGTGCTGCATACAGTGCATGCAACCAGTCCAGCCTCATGTACAGCATCCACTGGCCTTCAGGTTTACTGTGCACACAGCATACAGGAACAGCACAAGATGTGTGCTGTGGGCAGCATGCAGCCTGGACCCACGACTGTATGAGGCACAGGGGGCTCCAGAGCATGGGCTGCATGTGGCAGGTCAGACTGATCCCCTATGCTGCCTGCAGCGTTGGGTCCAGCCTGCGTACCATGGGCAGTGCCGGTCCCGAGTGCCTTATACAGAGCCCTAGGACTGGTGTGTGCTGCATATGGGTCTGGACCCAGTGCTATGGATGCTGCACAGATGGTTGGCCCCTGTCTGGCTTGCAGACTGATTTAGTGATGAGTTTGACACCCCTGTCCTACAGCATATGCACAACCTCTGTGCAGTTGATCATATGCAAAACATCCTTTTCTGTGCACATACCAATGCAGAAGAGCATGTTGGAACCCTTTATATTGTTGGTAAACATGTTGAGACAGTTACTGGCCTAATATAGATGAATTAACATTGAAAAACTTAAGGTTACCTTGAGGATGTTGCTTGGAAAGTTAGATGCTAAAATAGATTTTGAAAAGACATTTCAGTTCTCTCCTATTTCTATTGGTATCTGGCAGAGGAAAGACAATTTAAAACTTGAGTACAACACACATAAGAAAGCTTCCTTGATCACTACAGATTTGGTGGCTGTGTGTTGGATACAATCCTTCATGCACTCCTTCCTGCTTTGCTTACAGACCTACGGTTAGCAGCAGCAAGTAATTTAAATCCTTGTTTCAACTAGAGGCACTAATCAAAACAACGAGGGGGGGTTTAACTAAATAATTAAGGATATACAACAGTGGAATAACCAATGTAAATTATTAGCAAACATGCAGAAAAAATATATTAGGAGCTATATAGAAAAACTTGTACACTACAGAAAGTTGTTATATACAATTAGCTGTCTAGAATTACACTCTGATAAGATACTGGTTTTTAAAACACTTATATATTACCCTAACTAGAAGTGATAGAAAGAGAAAATGTCAGTTATCCAGAAAACAAAAATCCAGAACAAACATTACATGCAAGGCTCTGAAATTTAAGAGACATCCCTGCATGCAATTATATAATCTACCTCCAAGTACATTTTCTGTTTAAGTGGCAATGCTATTATAGGTGAACAGTCTCACCTCCATGCACACAGAGGAAATCATGATTTGAAATGGGTCCTGGCTCTGCAAAGGTCTTGAATTTATTCAGCCACTGTCTAGAAATGTAGAACTGCAGAAGACTTGGTTCCATCATATTCAACAGACTTGATATTCTCCGTCTCTCTCTCTGTGCTTCTTCACTGCTTTTTCTATTATTATTATTATTATTATAATAATAAGAATAAAAAAAATAAAAGCCTATTATTACAGGAATTAAAAAAAGAAAACCAAACAAAACCTTATACAGGATCTGTTTTCTCGCAGTGGCTATGATTTAATGAAGCCCGATTCAGCATTTTCTTTCACTGGATTTCTTGGTGTTTACATTTAATGCACCTTAAAAACCCCATGAGGAATATTCCATTAATACACAATTTCATAAAACATTTATATTTTACTTTACAATTCTGAAAAACGAAATGGGAGTATTTAGTTCATTTCATAACAATAAAACATATGATATGCAGTTAATAAATACACTTCTTCAATAACTTTTCCAAACCATCAATAGAAGTCACTGATTATATAAAGTGACACAGACTAGAATTTTGATGCGTTTTCTAAGAGTGTGCCTCTTCTTGAAAGAAACACAGAAAGCAGTCATTCTGGTAAGACCAATGATGGCAGTGGCCTGTGTCTAGTGCTGCTGATCAGAGGCAAAACATTCCCATTATTCACCTAATAATTTGTGCAAGTCTAGCCTATTTCTGCTAGACTCAGGAAACTGGTATCAATACAAAACATGTGGATCTTGAAAACTGAATTTGAATAGTTTAAAAAAAATACTGGGAATTAAAAAGAACTACAACTGCCTCAGACTGAAGTTAGTAAGAACAGGTCTCCCTCCCACTGCATTTCAGCTTCAGGGAAGGAATGGCCCCTGAATTCCCTAAAGTTAAACCAAGACACAGTAAAACCCCCTTTGTTCCATGTTCCAGCTGCTAAAGAGTTTCTTCTATTCCCTTTATAACACTAACAGTCCCAGTCTGTGCAGAAGCCTTCCTGCACAAGTTCTCCCCTGCATGAAAATGAGGCAATCTTAGTGGCAATTTTAACAGTTCTTTCTAGCCATCTTACTGAGTTCTTATAATTCCCAATCTGCACAAATAATGTGCTGACCCATTTCTCTGCCTTTACTGAAGTTTTGTAAAATGTTTTAAAATTCAAATCACTTCACCTCGTTATTGTACAAAGAAAACAACCTATAGCAAAGCATTTCAATGAAAGCAAAGCACCTCCAGAGTGCCACCTGGTGATATTCAGAGAACAGTGAAATCAAGTTTTCTAGTATGGTAGCTCCCCTAAATTACACCATTCATTAGAAAGACCACAGCCTCCTCTTTACTTACGTTAAAATTAATATGCTTTTTTTTTCGGGGGGGGGGGGGGAATATATATATCATAAAATAAAAATATCACCAAAGTATTTTTGATTTTATACATGTATTCTCCTTGAAGTACGAGGTCTCCAGCACCTGGGTTTCTAGCTGACCTTACACCCCCAACCTCTCTGCAACTTCTCTCACAAAATTTAGATACCAATTTTGAGAGCTAGGTACCAAATGGCCAACAGCTCGTACTTAACCAAGGCAGATGCAGACATCAACCCATCTCCCTCTAATTCAGATTCTTACCTGTAAAAGAGAACATAAGCTTCGGCATTTTGTACTGTAGATTCTGTTACTTCTGTAACACTCTGGTCATCAAATTCATACCAGAGATTATTTAAATTGTTTCGGCAATAAGCTATGTAATGCCCACCTAGAGACAGAATGTGCTAAGCATTAGAAACTATACAGTGAAATATACTGTTATGAATTATACTGGTAAAAGGGGCAAATAGCATGAATTTATCCTTTCTGTAGACATGTTCAGTGGCATTAACAAAACAGCTTTAACTTATGCATACTTGTTTTGAATTATTTTATAACTCAAAGATCAGCAGCTTGTTCCATTTTCCTCCCAGGTAATAGAAAGAAGCAAACATGATTTTACTCCTTCAATATATTCTGTCCTCTTCAACTGACCTTTAGCTTGAAGGATTTCTGACCAACATGAATATTTTACACTGGGTCTCTAGGTCCATTCGTTTTGTAAATCAATTTTGGAAAAAAACAATTTTTGTCAACCTGTATAACATCAACCTGCACGTCAGTACGTACAGGAACAACATTCTACCATTTGGGATCAAGACTCTGAATGTGCTCCTTGGATATTACTCATATTTAGACTTCTATTGTTTCTTAAAATACAAAGCCCACAGTCACTAACAAATATCTACCCTTGATCCGAAAGGCAGACCGTATTAAGGAACAACTTGATTTTAACAGCGAGGCCCAGCTTTTGGGACTTTACTCTGTGTATAGACACTGTAGAATCTATATTTTTTTTGTAACTGAATGCATCCTTATGCTCTCTGACTTGTCAGGCACACCAAACCAAACTAGTCAAGAACACCACATTGGCTTCATTGTTTAGGGCATTCTTTGTTTTGGCCATGTCACACAGAGAACAAAAGGATGATCCTCTCCTGAACAAGTGCTTGTCAGACAGGAATAAGCATAAATCTTTCTATTCATCCACTCCTACACATGAACTGCATCAGATAAAAATCATATGAGGTAACCAGAATTATGTGCCAGACAAACACCAGTTTTTGACTGCTAGCCATCCTCCGCGGCACTCTGCCAACCATTGCAAGGAAAGTAGAATTAGGGTACGGACAGATATAACAATTACTTTGATACCAAAGGATAACAACAGTTGTATCTGCACAATCCTGTAGTGATGCAAGTGCAGCAAAATCACTCCACCTTTAACTCAGATTCATTGGGGTCATTTAACTTCCCTTGCTACAGGATCATGTAGATATAACCTCCAGCTCATAAGAACTGCTGTTCACTCCTGAGCTGCAGCTCCCCCTCTCCTTGAGGCTAAAATGAATACAAAGCTAAAATGTACATTTGTCCATACACTCAATGAAGTGGATCAAAATCAAGTGCCAGAGTCAAAAAAGTAGTCTACTGTTACCCCTATAGTGATTATAACACATAAATCGAAGTGGATGGAGTTTCAGAGTATACAATTATTCTTAGGCTGGGATGGTTTCACAATTCTTGTTATATTTACTGTTTTGTCTGCTGGAAACAGAAGAAACTGGAAAAGTAGCCAAAGGAGAGCCTGCAGACAGTACTGTTAAGTCCTTAATGCTTTATTACTTACATCCTTCAATTTCTATAACAAGAATCAAAGGATGGTTACCTAGAGAGGTTTTTACAACATTAAAAATAAATTTAAAGTTTTGTTACTGTTTTTTAGTGCCAGTATTAGTTGATATAATCCTCTTGAAGCTGTGCAAGATTCCCAAGTAAGATTCCAAGTGTATGTGCTATATAATGGTCTGCCCCTTTAGGGGCTTGAGGAGCAAAAAGTAAGAGCCATTCCTATTCTGGAGGAGGCAAACAGAGGCAAGATGCATCCATTTACTAGGGCTGGGCCCCAGCTGGGAGTTTAAGAGAGCTCCCAAAGGAGGCACAAAACGGGAGCTAAGCAAGAAAGGCTGTGAGGATACAGCTCTGATGCAGAAGGGAGATGGGAAGGGGTATTATGGTAGTGATACCATACTACTCCAGCAGTTAGTATGGGGTTTTCATAGATTTCATAGACGTGAGGGCTGGAAGGGACCTCGGAAGATCATCGAGTCCAGCCCCCTGACCTAGGGGCAGGAAGTCAGCAGGGGTTTTGGTGGACTATAATTTCTTTATGTTTTGAAAATAAAGTCAGCTGAGGAGGCTGCAGGCAGGATTAGTGCATCTGACTGCTGACCAAGCCTAAGGTACCACGGCTTGGCTACTGTCACAACGGTTTTTTTTGGGGGGTGGGGTTTAAAGAAAAAACAGAATATAGGCTAGTTTCTGGCTACCAGCAGTGGTAAAACTGGTCAATTTTGAAGTTAAATCCTATATCTAATGATGTCTAGTTACCTTTCAGACAAATAACTCAAACTTACTCTTGCTGCTAACATACTGTATTTACTCAAATAGAAGGCAACCCCGATTATGAAATGACACCCCAAAATTAAATGCTACACATGGAAAATGTCTGATATCATTTTCCAGGTACAGGATCTAATTATTGGACGTTTGCTTTGAATTTGTCCCTCTCACACTGTTACAGCAGGGAAAATAAGTCTGGGGGTCAGGTAGCCCCTATGCTTTCTTCTTCCCCACAGCTTTTCCCCCCGGCAGACCTTTCCTCCTCTTCTTGGTGTCAGACGCTGCTCTCCCTGACATTTCAAAACAATAACCTGGAAATTAAACATGGCTAGAGCGATCTGCATGTAGTACTCATGCACTTAGTTTATCCAGAATTGATGCAGTTTACCTCTATCACAGGTACTCCATAAACACGCTTTTGAGCAGTACTTTCATGAGTCCAAAGCCAAAGGCTCGTGATTTGCCATACACTTCATTCACCTAGGCTCCACCACAGTCAACAACATTTCAAGCCATGGTGATCCCACAGCTCAGCATACGTGTGTACTCCACAAAGGAGCGGCGTTCTAGCTCCCCCATCCCCCACTCATTACTGGAACCAGGTGTTCTTGTCATGAGTCCTGGGATCCTCCAAAACTTTATATGCAGATGAGGTGCAGGGCAACTTGGTCCAGCTTCATCTCATGGAAGGTGGGACTACACTAATCATTTACTCCAGGCTGAGAGAGGGGGCAGCATGTCTTGAAAAAGTTGGTGCTGAGAAGGCTGCACTGAATGGGTGTTATTATACATCTTATTCAGATTAGCTGCACTAAGGACATAAAGACAGTGAGGAGGACAACAACAGGATCAGCAGCAGTGGAAGTGACAGCGACAAGGACTGTGAATGAACTGAGAAGGGAAACCCCTAATCGGGCCGGGACTAAGGGACTGTGTTTGGGTTAGGGAAGGGCAAAGGGCGGGTGTACAGGGGCACAGGGGAGCGGGTGCGGTTATTGTAATGGACATGCAGGTTTCTTAAGGTGGTTTTAAAAAGAAAAGCTGCGATGGAAGTCTATCATCAAGGATGCGTGTGTGTATTATATCTAGATATCTATCTATATCTATATCTACTACACACACACACACACACACACACACACAAATTAGCAAAAATGTGGTAAGTTTGCTTCTCAGTCTTTTGGCTCAGATCAAGGAGAAATATCATGAACACCAGGCTGAGATCACCTTGTATGGTGTGTAGTTAAGGGTGGAGACTTGTCCAATGTACTTCAGGCAGGCCCCTGAAGAGTCTACTACAGCTGCATCCTTTATATTTATGGAGACGAAAGATTTCTCCCTAGCTTGCTCATTTGGCCTGTTGGCTACATGCAAATGAGACTCAGGGGCATTTGAACTCAAAGGCCTCTGGGCTTGGGGCCTGCAAGTAGTATGCCTACCATGGATTTTGGAGCATCTTACACATAGCAATACTGGCACGGAGAGGAGGGTGTCAGGGCTAGCTCTGTCCCTCCCAGTTGCAGCCTAGTATTGCAGCACCTCCAAGGCTGGTGCCAGTTCCCTGTGAAGGGAACACCTGCATATTTTTTTTATTTTAAGGGCCAAAAGTACATAAATAAATAAATAAATAAAAGTTCCCATGGGCCTTGTGTTTTACAGTCATGCTCAGTGGTGGTTGCATTTAATCATCCTCATACTTGCTTTTCATTGCTGAGCACATGCTGCTTTTAATGTCAGCAGTTTAATAATAGACAATGTAGTTAGTGAGATTTCCTTGTATGCAATTATAAGACGAGGGGCTTTTTCCGCCCTTGCCAATGGGGGACTGGCAAGGGGACAATCTTTGTTGTGTATCTGAATAAATACAATATATGCCCCAAACATATATCACAGTATTTGCATTCTGAAATAATCTCTTTATGCTTACTGCTTGCAGTTCCATGGTGGCAGATGACAGACAAGAGATCGTAGGTCACTACTTGAGTGGGACTGTCTTTGGCAAGGAAAGGCTGAAGATCAAGTCCTTCCAGAGGAAATGATACATGGGTACCAATTTTCGTGGAAAACATTAGCTCATGTCTAAACCTTTTGAGATGAATGCATAGTATCTGTAAGAAAGATTGATACACTCAGTCAAGAACTTAATTAAAATGTGGACTGCTACTATTTTGTATTTAACAGCTACACTACAGGAGGCCTACTTTCCTTTTGTCACTCGAAAATAAGGGATTTCAAAGGCCCTTGTACAGGTTGGAAGGATCTACTTCTAATTGCAGAAGGTGGCTAACAGCAACAATCATGATCATTTTAAAATTTGCTACAGTTTTGGTGTGGGAAAGAATCTCAAGCATATTTGTGGAATTTCTTCAAAAAATCATCATCGGGGGCGCGTGTGCAATTAATTGGAAGCAATAAATTCTGGAGCAGTTTAAGCCAGAATAAACTACTCCTGGGTACAGCTGCAATGTCTACACATGTACCCAGAACAGCAGCAATTTGAGCCAGGGCAGAGCAGTTTATGCCAGGGCCGGGGGTACTGGGGGATCAGCCCTGGGCTCTGGACGTCAGCAGAGGGGCTGGCTGGGGCATGAGCGTGCTGAAAGTGTGGAACTGTGTGGCTAGGCTTCAGGCAGGAGTCTGGCCCTCTGCTGGCTGGGCTGACCAGGCAGTTTACACCTGCAGTCAGCATCTACACATGTATTTAAACTGCAGTTAATTACCCTGCCGTAAGATAGTACTGTTCCTGACAGTAATCTTACAGCAGCATTAATTAGTTTACTATGGCCAAATAGCATTACACATGTACATGGTGATGCTTTACTCTGCAGCTAATTAGTCTGCACCACAGCTGAGTGCATGTGTAGATGCAGCCTGTGAAGCCAGCCCAGAGCAGTTGCTATGCCCAATACTGCAGTGAAGGGAAAAACACTTATGCTTCCATATTTAACTATTTATTCAAGTCTGTCACGAGGCAAAAATTCTTTCCTGAATATTGCAGCCATCAGCTGATGTTATGAAGCATAAGATTTGATTGCTTTCAACATGCTAACTACAAACATTACTGGAAAGATTTCCAGTACAATTACAGTATTTAAACTCCACGACCTCCAGAAAAGGTGAATTCTACTAGTTAACTAGAGGAATGAAGGGAAAGCATTTTTTTTTTTTTTTTTTTTTTACAGTTTTTTTTAAGTCTACCTCCATTTGTAATTGCTCACCTTCTTGCTGAGTACAAAAGCAAGTACAATTGGATACTAACAGGTTTTTGTGAATGCAAGTATGCAGTTACATTTTAATCATTTAACATTCAAGAAAGATTGCATCTTCTATACAGATCATTAGTCTTGCCATACTTCTAAGCATGTAAAGCAAGTGCTTCTAAAGTGGGTGTGCTAACAGTACCTCAGGAAATGTTTGCACTTTGCAGAATTTCACTCCATTTCTTAACCTAAGCACAGAAAAATAAAACACATTTAGCGCCAGAAAGGTTTTACACTTCCTTGTGCCAACTCAGCAAAAGAAAATGTTAGTCTTAAAGTTGAGAGTTACATTAGTACACCTGAAGTATTTCTGGAACGCAGGCTAGATGTATAGTAGCGAAAGTGATACGAATAATAAAGCTGTGGAAGCAGATACACAATCTGTACCACTAAATAATTGAAAACCATTACTTTATTCGCTCTCTCTCGCTAATGAGTGTTCTTTGGATGGGAAAATAATTTACTGTTTAAATGTTATGAAAGCCTGTTACAGGGAGTTGATTCCCATTTTTGCTAAGTTAGCTTATTCTTGAAGAAAAATTAGTTCTGGTAAGTCAGTATAATTGTACCAAGGGCCAAACATACTTCATCCCCACTACACGTTCTTCAGTTCCATTCTTCTACATATTCTCCATTCCCACTACACATTCTCCCTCCTACATTAAAACAGTATTATGATACCTGCACATGAAAATAATTTCACTTTATAAACAGCAACTATTATTGTGCTAAACTTCTAGGTGCCTTTATTTTATTAGGGCTGTCAAACAATTAAAAAATTTAATCAAGATTAGTTGCTCAATTAAAAAATTAGTCACAATTAATTGTGATTTTAATCACACAGCTAAACTCAAAATTATGCACAGAAAAATTCAATATTATGCAGGTGCTTTGTATGGTGGGGGTGGGTATGTAGGGGGCAATCTGTGAACATGTGGGTAGTTGTGGGTGTGCGGGGTTTGGAGCCTGGGAAGGTGGGACCCCCACATGCCCTTGCAGGATGTGGGGTACTGTGGGTCAAGAGTCAGGGGCAGCAACAGGGCTGGGGGGTCTGTGGCTTGGGAATGAGGGGCAGGGCACATCACTGCCCACCCAAAATCATATTACCCACCCCCCATGCGTCCTCTTTTTTGAAACTGGAAATATAGTAACCCTACAAGAATGCAGCCTGGCAACGCGTAGAGCGGTGGCAGCATGTAAGTCTGTGGAGGGGGAGGGGAGAGAAAAAGGACTGGGGGGGAAATAGAGGCCCCCATGGTGAGGGATGAAGGGGGCAGGGGTGAATAAAATCTCAGGACTGGGGTGGGTTGTGGGACAGAGCCGTGGGTGGCTCATCCAGGACATGGGATGTAGCTCCCTGTCACTGGATGCGCCCCTGGGGGGAGGTGTGTGCGGGGCAGAGGCAGGCTGTAGGCTAGGGCTGTGCACCCTGCTGCCTTTGCCCTGGGAGCTATGCAATGCTGTATTGTGCCTCCCGCCACCGGGCAGGCAGGGGGGCAGCCAGTGTGGAGCTCCTGACACTAAGACAGCAGGGTGCAGAGCCCCAGCCAGCAGCTGGCAGCCCACCTCTATCCAGTGCAGAAATTCAGGGGGCACGTACCCTCCATGTCTCCTTTGGGGTGTGCACAATGGTAAGGAGTACTCCTTCCCCTCTGTCCCTGGATGAGGCGCCTATGGCTACGTCCCATGACCTGCCCTGGCCCCAGGGTCCCATTGACCCCAGCCCCACTCCCCCTCTTCCCCTTCCCACCCTTCCTCCTGCAGCAGCCCACAGCTCTTGCCTGGGTAGCCTAGTGCAGCACTTCTACACTGCCACCACTGCCCCGCTGGGTGGCTCGGGGGTGGTGATGGCAAAGAGCTCAGGCGCAGGCTCCAAAACCACGTGTGCAATTAACGCGTTAATTAGTTCTAGCTTTAATCACACACATTAACAGCAATTAATTGACAGCCCTATTTTTTTTATTTTTTATAAGTCATGTATTAGACCAGAGGCGGGCAGTTATTTTGGGCAAAGGGTCGCTTACTGAGTTTTGGCAAGCCATTGAGGGCTGCGTGACAGGCAGATTAATATTAATTTTATAAATTTTTAGGGGCCCAGCAGACCGGATAGAATGGCCTGACAGGCTGCATCTGGCCTTTGGGTTGCATTCTGCCCACCCCTGTATTAGAGGGGTACTAACTGACCATTAAAGAACAATTATAGATATAGCAAAACGTGGATTCTTTGCAGAGTCAGATTCCTTACTGCCCCTTCCCAAGATGAACTAGATGGGGACATATATAGATATAACAATTGAATGGGACCACTAAGCTGCTTTAGCTGCTAGCTGTGTCATTTATTTCTCTGAGCAGCTGAGAACCACAGCTGAGTTCCAGCAAAATGGAAAAATCGTACCTTTTGAAGTGAAAGGTGCAATAATCAGCTGAGCAGCTTGTCCCTTATTTAGCAACTGGCTGAGAACCAAATGGGTGGTGAACAACCCATATATGAATGATGCTGATTCTACCATACAAAGAGTTGTCATACAGTTAAATGAAAAGACCTTTACATGGCAGTGTCATCCCTCCAGCTCTTGCAATCTGTTGCACCTTCACTGCTACTAGACTACATGTATATAACCAAGTAACTTAAGAAGATCCTCATAAATTCTTGTCATTAAGACCATCACAAATATAAAATTTTCCCATTTAACAGGTTATTATACAATACATTTATTTCCATGCATAAACTGTTTATAGAGAATGTGAGAGCAAGACACATTAAAGCAAATGGAGTAGAAGATCACTTACTTTTTACACTTTTCACAGCTGTACATATTATCACCTGCAAGTGGTGGGAGGAAGAAATAGCATTATTCTCTAACTTCATTTTTTATCCTTCAAACTATCAATAAACTACAATTGTGCTTTTCCTTTGCATTGGTTTAGATGTATCAGAATAATTTCAGAGATATTTCCCTTTTAGGGTTACATGTGTTCATAGTCTCAAGACCCTGGATTGCTCTAGGGCAGGGGTGTCAAACATATGGCCCAAGGACCAGATATGAATGACTTGGCCTGAAGACTTCTGCTCTGATTCTGGCTGTGACTGGGACCTTTCCGTAGTGGCAGCCAAGTGCCTGGGCAAAACCCATTGGTGTTGGAACACCAGCAGCTTGTGGCTTGTACCCATGGTGGCAGCCAAGAGTGCAGGTGAGAGCCAAAGTGCTGAAGCCCCCCAGTAGGACTGAGGGAAGTAGCCCAGCACCAATGCCAGGGTTCCTTCCTGAGGTACTGCTCAGAATTCAGTGCCTCAACTCTTGTCTGGGCATTTGCTTGTCACTGCAGGAACAAGCTGCAGTGCTGCTAGGGTTGGGCTCCAGCACTGCTGTTCTCACGGGGGTTGCTTGGCCGCAGAAAAAAGCTACAGAGCTGCTGGGGCTCCAGCATGTTGGCTCTTCTCAGCTTGGCTGCCAAGCACCCAGGTGATAGTAGTGGTGCTGGAGCCCTGCAGCTTGTTCCTGCAGCAGTAGAAAAGCCTGCCCGGGGCCTTCCTGCTGAGTCCTGGACTGGGTGAAGTAGGTGCTGTGTGTGCTGGATCTAGCATGGGGGTGGGGAGGGACAACAGGCCTGATCCAGTACACAGGGCCAGCCCCATACCATTGATCCAGCCTGTGGACCAGTCCCAGGACACTCATCCAATTCATGGGGCCAGACAAGTTTGATACCTCTGCTCCAGGGAAAATTTTAGTATTGAATTAAATATATGTATCACAGGGTTCTTACGTTTTATATTCCCAACCATTAAAGAAAAAGTAGAGTCCAGAAAAAGAAAATGTGTTAATCTTAAACAGTGTACGTTAAGGGCAAAACAAGAAGCAAAACCCCAGATTCAGACAATATAGTAGTCATGATAGAATTGAGAAAGAAAACTTCTAGTCAGAAATTGTTCTGAACCTGCATCTGATTTTATTTAGTTCAGACGAATCCAGTTGTGACTAGTATTACCAAGTAAATTTACATGGAAAATTCTTCCCTCAAACTTCAGTCTCACAAGCCATTCTGCAATAACTGATCCTAGACCGGGTCATGGGATACGTAATTTGATTTAATTAAAAAAGAATAAAGGGTGTTTTTTAAGTTTTGTTTAACTAAGGAAGCATATTAGATTTAATTTAGACTTACCCTTGAGCTCATCTCTGGCAAAAAAGGCAGCAAGACAATCTTGCAAGGTTACAACTGGACCCCAAAACCAGCTAAGAACATGAGACAACAAACGTGAAACATTGTTGATAAAAAACCCCAAAAAACAAAACAAAACAAAAGTTCTGCCTGAAGAGCAGAAACAGCAATTTTAAAATCCAAGCACTACAGAAATAATGAGTTACCTTTTAATGTACTCCATGAAAAATGCTATCCACCCCTGTGGGGCATATGCTTCTCCACATGACCCTGCTTTGACCAGAGAAGTCTGATGGCTTGCAGAATGCAGTTTAGCAAGATCTTCCTTGCCTGGAATAGGCAAAGACAAATCCTGAAAAGTCTCCAGAGTTACAGACACCTGAAACAAAAAACCAAAGAGGAAAATTAGACTCCTTATAGCTTACTTCTTTTAATAAGATGACCTAATTCTTAAAGCCCATCAGTTTTCACTGCTTTATTTTTTGATATGAGAAAATTCAACCAAGGAATGACTGCCAACTAAAGATGTAGGGTTTTACTCCAAAAATTCCACTAGATGGCATGCTCTCTCTGGTGATTTGTTATAAGGCAGGGCAGAGTTGCTCTTTACAGACTAACTAAATCAAAGATACATAAGCTTTTTTAAGCAGCTGCTTACTTCATCAGATGTTGTGTAAGGACATCTGTTATAAGAGCAGCTTTGTAAAAAACACGTGGCATTTGTATAGCTGAAGTAATAACAATGGTTCTTTTATACATCCCAGCTGGTTCCACTGAAGGTGATGACAGTGGTACAGGACTGTGAAATTTTCTCCAGAGGTAGCCCATCAAGGGCACTAGATTAAAAATGTTATTCAAGTTACTTTGACTGCATTTCACTTAGTATTTGGCCCTGGAAATAAGCACTGGCATATCTAACTTTTGTGAATCCTGTCAACAAAATGAAGCAGGTTATTAAGACTTCTTTCCAAATTAGTTTTGACAGGTTTCTAAAATCATCAGTTACTATTTGAGGGTCTCTCTGAACAAATGGGCCATGATTCTCTAAGTGGGGGGGGGGGGGGGGGGGTGTCTTTTTTATGATATCACACTACACTTTCCAGTAAGGAACTGAGACTTGTGAGGCAAGTCAGAAGGTCAAATAATTTTGAAAACTCTTTTTAAATCAGGTACTGAATTTTCTCATCTAACTTGCTTGATGAAACTTCCAAAATGGTACAGATTCAATTATTTTCTGAATTTCTGAAAATATACCATATTTAATGATTTGCCTTTTATAATATGATGTAGTAGTTAGATGATTTTATGTGGAAGTACTATTTTTTTTCTCAACACAGGTGTATGAGTGTGTTAGAGTAATCAGGATTAGCTTTTTTATTAAATGAAACAGTATACAAAATATTTCATTAATCTTGGGAGGAAAACTGGCATGAAACACTTTTCATAAGCAAAGACCGTGTATCAAGGAATGAAGAATTCTTTCTTGTTTAAAAACAGAAGACTTGCATAATTCAGTGCTTACAAATTTATTTAATCCAGAACTGCTCACTCATCTGTTACCCATGAGACTTTGAGGCATGGTTTTGCACACATTGACTGGCCATAATATAGTAAAAAATGAACTGTGGACCACTCAAATAATTTATCCAACAATGAGAAGCCAACATTAGTAGTTATTAGGTGATTAGAGGAAAAAGACAACTACTAAACTTGGAGGAAAAATAGCTGCAAATTAAAGCTGACAGTTTTTTTTAATTTTCAGGTATATTTATGATTTTTCTAGTATCATATGAGAAGGAAGAGTTTGGGTAAATGAAGGGCTGAAACAGCTAATAATAAGGCTTACAAAATCAAAATGAGAAACACAACAATTGCAGAACTCAAAAGTGGGCATACCCTTACCATCTGTCTGCCATAAAAAAATCCCAATAAAAAGATTACACCTCTAGTACCCAAACTACTGAAGTTAACTATTGTATGTTAGTATAAATAGTCAAACCCAAATTCATATCACAACATGGTTATAAATCACTACACTTACCCGATCACAAGTCAGGCACTGCACTGAGCTTATGATGGTCCCATCAAATATGTCAGATATAATACTCCTGTATCGCTTCTGCTTCTTCTTTTTTGGAGAAGACATACCTGGAACTAATACAAAAAGGCAAAAATAAAATAGTTAAAAAAAAAAGTTCAAAGTATATTGCTTGATTTTTTATTGTACTCTGCCTGAACCCTTTAAATAGCATAAAAATGAGCTGTCATGTTTTCAGGTTTGAAAAAAAGGGACAAACTTTATTAGGCAGTAGACAAGATTACCGTCACCTATGGCTAGGTTATTATAGCCCCATGGCATTTCTTTTAAGAGTGGATATGGACAAACAGAAGGGTTAGTACTTGGTTTCTACTGAATGGATTTTCCAGTGAGATAATTTAAGTAAGTGAAACTCAGGCTGCAGGAGCTATTTTGACACTCCTAGTCTACTGCTCTTAAATTAAGATCCAGTTCAACAATATTCCCAATGAGCAGCATGATTTTATACATTAGAGTGTACATGCCAATGCCATTTGACTGTAACCACTTTACAGGTGGTCTTCACTATGTTCTGGTCCAAAAGACTCAACTTATGCAAATTCAAAATACTGGAACACTGATTATGCTGGATACAATTAATGCAACTTTCAGTGATCAATACAGAACCTAAGAAACTGCTGACTGAATGGGAAAAAACCCATCCCTGCCAACTTTGCTCAAACAAAGCAGTGTCTGAGGGCTCTCAGCAGGATTTTCTCCAACTGATCAGAAAATGAGTAGAAATAATTTTGCGTCTTGAGTTGCATAAAGTCAGTCACTGAAGATATTTGCAACAATCCCTGGAATTAGCACAATCCCTGGAATACATAAAGCAGTCTTTTGGGACCCAATAAGTTAGAGAATAAAACTTGGAAACAGAAGTACGGTCTGCAAATTCCCTTCCTGAAGTCACACAAACTCAAATGACTCAGTTGGCCAAAATCCTTTTGGTGGAGTCTTGAAAGCAGACTGTTCACCTTTGGAGTGCAAATACTAATGGAGATGAGTGAAATAAAGGCAACAGCAATAGTGAAAAGGGAAACTGAACTCGCTCCAGCAACATCCCATAATGGATATGCTTCCCCCAAAGCTGTTTTGTAGATAAACAGAGTCGATACAGCAAACGATTTTCTCCTAAGCAGATATCCTTGGCTCCTTGCCCTCTTAACAGTAGCCAGATTTGCCTGTCTCCTCCTTAGCTAGAAAAGGTTCAGAGTTACTTATGCCTTTACTTGAAGTTACTGACAGAAAAAGGTATAAATTCTTGCAAGTCCTCTTCTCCTATATGATGTGCACTATGCGAAGAGTGCTATTTATACAGTATAAATACGCTGCACTGCTCCATTCCCAGACCCTAGTACACTGATTTTTTTAAAACTGTGCTGTAGAACAACCCTCAATTTTCAGCTTACCAAAGATTGTTGTGCTCAGCATGCATAATCCTCTCACAGACATAGCTGGAGGGGAATCTGGAGTTGCTGACAGCTTGGCCTCTTCACACGCTGAAATGTGAGACAATTCAGCTTTTGGTAACCAGAAAGCAGCTTAGGCTTTTGGTACAGGACAGGGGATAACTCTCCTTTTTGGAGACCTAGCTTTGAAGAGGACAAATTTTACATTTCCAGGAAACCTTGATCGCTGCAAACTAGTTGATTGCTAAATCCTGCCCCCTATCTTTCACTACACACAAAAATGATGGTGTGAGCTTAGTATTTATGCAAATATGACTAAGACTGAAATATTTAATGCTGGAATTTAATTTGTCATTAGACTTCAGTGTTGACACACCAATGGGAAAAAGAAATCAATTAATCCAAGAGCTATGGTCTCTACTGAATTCAGAGGTTTTCTTCAAAGTCACAAGGGATTCAACAATTAAGAATAAAGAAGTAAAAGTTCAGATTCTGGGTCACACTTGAAAACATGAATGATTACAGAGCAATTTCCCTGGTTGTTTTACTGCATTACACCATGGCATGTGGGCAATGAGTACAAAAGGTATATAAAGAGGCAGGCATTGGCCATGTTCCAAACACCACTGGTAGCAGATCCTTGGCAGGGGAAAGAAAAAAAAATGAAGCAGGATACCAAAGTGGCTTCCCATTGGGATGGTTCACAGGTTCATGATGATGGCTGAAGGGGCCAGCTGTCAGGCTGAACACCAAGGGAAAAGACACCACAGGTGATAAACTGCAGTACTGGCAGTGCTGAAACTAAAATACACTTCCTAATGGTGACCCACCCACAGGTTGCCTTGTGTCTGAGCACCTTCTGGGGCATTTAAGGCTGTGACAAAAAGAGGGAAAGAATATACTAGGGTGTGGCTTCAAAATGCTTCTCTGCTCAGCTGTTCATGGGTCAGCCAAATGAAGGAAAAGGAGCCAGTCAACACAGAAGATAGGATAAGAAAGAACCACCTATCAGTGGTCTTCCACACTGTGATCAATTCTATGACGTGCCCAGTGACAGCAGCAACTGTCAAGTACAGAGTAGAGGTATTTGTTACAAAGACAAAGGAAGGTGCTATAAAAGTATACATCCTGTATTGAAAGACTGTAATGACAGAGGAACACCATTGCAGAATCAACCTCTTTTCCTGACAACACACGTCAACCTGAAAAATTAAGGAACCAAACCAGATTCTTCACTACACCACATAAGTGTAGTAATTAGCAGGGATCCTGGTTTTTTCAGATTTAAAAAAATCCTGTTTTCAGTTAAAAATGTGGTTACCCCAAATCCACATCTTCCCGTGATTTAAACGAAACACCACTAATATATAAATCCATATATAGTGGTGTTTCATTTTAATCATGGAAAAAATTTGGATTTGGGGTTACTTTTTTAAAACCAAAAATTAGGGATTTTTTTAAATCAGAGAAAACCAGGAGCCCTGGTAATCAGGATTGCTACAATGAGTCAACTTACCACCTACATTGGGGCAGTATGAACGTATTATGAGCCCCTTTACCCTGAGGGGACATGATTGATGCCCTGTTCCCCAGAAATCCTGTCTCCTGAATACACAATAGGTTGTTGCCAGGGACTGTTCTCCTTTAAAATAAAAATTAACCTTTACCTTCTCTTTTAGGCATTCTTCTGCCCACTCACTTCTCCAATCAGATGCTCTAAAAGAAAGACCTTGAAAAATACTGCTCCATGCTTCAACAGTTAAGAAGCAAAAACAACTGCAGAACCAAGAGGGTGCATCTGCCTGTATATGCATCTTGCTACAGTGAAGAAAAATCACATGAGCAATTTTGCACTCTGGTATCAGTGTTTGATGCAAAAAGAACACAATAAAGAACAAAACACTAATAAGCAGTGCAGTGCAAAGTGAAAACGAAGTAGGTACCTTTGTGGGATGGTGCCAATGGGGACCATGATGAGACTGATTTTGGAGGACTTTGTGCTGCAGACAGATCATTTGTGTGGACATCACCAGAGGCATAGTCTGAAGTTAGAAATCTATATTATTACAGTTTCCAACAAAACAATTATGCCAGGTTGAATAACAGCAATAATTAAAGTTACATTTCAGCACACCACTGGATTACTGATTAAGTACTGAGCAATAAAAACTAAATTTGAATTCGCCAACTAGAAAAGTGGCAGTAATAAGCAAAAGGTCACCATAAGAATATATCTGGAGCCTTTCAACCATTGTAGTTCTTGAATAGCTGATCAGTGTTTAATGCATTTCAAAGCAGCAACAAACACATAATCACTGTACTGACCTTAATTAACCAATTCAGAAATATATTAGGATATATAGAGAGTTTTAGATCTAGTATTTTCATTCTAACTTCTATGAGCACTTCAGTAAATACTATGACATTACAATTACACATTAGCAGCTTGATATAGTCACCTGAAAGTCTGCTGTGTATTTGTACTTTAACTGTTCCTTGGTTGTTTAAAAATTCAGCAGTTTCTGAAGTACTGTGCATGTCTTTCTCTAAGACTTCCATAGAATTTGTTCGGTTAAGCTTATTACAGAGAATTTTTTCCTTCTGCCAATCTTTGCATACGAGAGAGTGGTTTTCATCATCCTGAATTAACATAGCAGACTCTGCAGGGTCTTCCATGAGGGGTTTATAACTGGCTTCATTTTCTGCCTTATCACTGCTATTACAAGATTCACAAGACTGGAAATCCAGATCTGACTGGCTTTTGTCTTCTTCCATATTTTCTTCTACACTTGTAGGGTGGACATCTTCTATTTCCATGACTGGTTCCTTTAGCTCTTCATGAAGCAGATCCATTAAACAACGCAGAAATTCTTGTGCATCCTGAAATAATTTTAAAAAATTATTTAATATTGTCCTTTTCTATTTGGAAGATATGTACATAGTGGTGACAAGACATGACCACAAAAGGCTGGCTATTAAATCAATAGTTCAAGGTGTGAAAAAATCTGATTGACAGTTCAAACAATATTCACAGGTTTCTTTTCCGTCACAAAGACTGCTACTTAATAACACTCCTCCTCACTTTCACTCATCACAAAAACTTATGCTGTACAAATTCTTTACTTTAAATTGGGCGAGTGCATCCTGATGTAGGCAACCATCAGTCTTAGTCAGACTATCTGTGTAAGCAACAAAAAGGTGTGGAAAGAAATCTATCTACATTATAAGATTTTCAGGGCCTTACCTGATCTGATCATGGAAATTATATTTGCACCTTTCTAACAACAATCAGGTTTAAGTTGCTTCAGCCCTCCAACTGCATCAGAGCAGCACTGCCTGTCCATAAGAAGAAAAGTGAAGAGTAGACTAGCAGATTCAATCTGCAGCAATTCAGCAGCTTCTTGTGGGAGCGGTAGCAATGCCACTGCTGTCCTGTCTGTGCTTGTATTACTTAGCTAGGCTGTAAAGCTGTACCTCTACTCTGCCTTCTTGTAAGATGAACGCATCTATTGTGCGTGGATGACCTCTACCTGACTCAAGAAGTCTATGGGCCAACGAGAGGTAAAGCACTGCTTGACCTGGTACTGGCAACTGGGGATGGTCTAATCGGAGACTTAGTGATCGATGGGAAGCTGAGTGACAGCGAGCAGGAGCTGATCACCTTCACCATCCGCCGTAAAGCTGGCAAGCCAGTCAGCAACACTGAAGCCCTTGACTTCAGAAAAGCTGTCTTTGACATGCTCAGGAGGCTTGTCAGTGAGGCCCTAAGGGACCACGACCCCAGGGGGAGGGGAGTTCAGGAAGAGTGGCTACTCCTCAAGGTAGCAATCCTCAATGCACAAGCTAATTCTATTCCATCTCGGAGGAAAGGCAGCAAGAGGACACAGCAGCCCCTCTGGCTCTCCAGGGATCTAGCAGACCTCCTGAGGCTAAAAAGAAAGGCCTACAAAGGATGG